AACCCAAAGAAGCCCTAAAGAAATCCTGATAAGAAATATTGATAAGAAACCCTACATGAAGCACTAAATGAACCCTAAAGAAACCACAAAATAATCTTTAAAAAAACGGAAATGAAACCCTCAAGATACTTTAAATGACACCCTACATGACATCCCAAAGGAACCCCAAACAACATTCCGAAAAAATCATTAAACGAAACCTTAACTGATACCTTAGCTGAAACCCGAATTAAAACCTTAAACTGACACCATAAACAAACCCTAAATGAAACCTTAAGCGAGACCGTAAAGAAACCCGAAATGAAACCCTAAAGAAGCCCTTAAGGAACCCACTTGAACGTTTAGAAAGCGTGAAAAGAAATATAAGAAATCCAGATAAGAAACCCTGGCATGAAACTCAAAAGAAAACTTAAATGAACTCCTGAATGAAATCTGAAATTGAAACTCTAAAGAAACCTTAAACCTAAAGAAATCGTAAATGAAACCGTAAATGACACCATAAAGAAACCCTAAATGAACCCCGAAAGAAACCCTAAATGAAACCCCACATGAATCTCTAAATGAAACCCCACATGAAGCCCTAAATGAAACCCTAAATGAAACTTTAAGTGACACCCGAAATGAAAGCCTAGAGAACCGTCAAGAGACCCACATGAACGTTTGAAGTACCAAAATCTAGCAAATACCATGCAAAGAGAAGTTGAAGTGTCAAAATGTGACAAATACCATGCAAAATGGACGGCGAACATGGCCAAATGTAGCAAATACATGCAAATACCATGCAAAATGCAAAGTGACCATGCCAAAATGTAGCAATTACCATGCAAAATGACAGGTTCTAGTTCCAAACTGTTGCAAATACAAGGCAAATGGTACCAGGACACAATTATAAAAAAAAAAATCTGAGGCCAAAAAAATGCCAAAAACTATTCTACACCCTTAAAAAAAGGTGTGCTGTGTGCCATCTTGCTTTTGGGTTCTCGGGCCTACCTTGTTTTTTGGGCTTTGGCACCGAGATCTGGTTTGGAACAGGTGTTGGACTAGAAAAGCTGAGAAGAGCCGAGGCTGAGAAGAGCTGAGATGGGCTGAGGGGGAGTGGTGACAAGAGGAGAAGAAGTGGAGAAGGGATGCGAAGAGAGGCGATGAGCTGGGAAGAACTGATTTGAGATGAGAAGGGATGGGAAGAGCTGCAGTGAGCCGAGCAGGAGCTGAGAAGAGATGAGATGAGTTGAGAAGAAATGAGAAGAGGAGAGGAGCAGGGAAGAGCCGAGACGGGCTGAGATGAGCTCAGAAGAGGAGAGAAGACATGAAAGAACATGAGATGAGCTGAGATGGGCCGAGATGAGCTGACAAGATCTGAGAAGAGTTGAGAAGAGATGAGATATAGAAGTCCGCGAGGTGCGTTGATAACTTTGAAAAACATAAGGGGCCTAATGGTCAATTTCAAGCCTTGTTCTATTTTTAATGGCCAAATTTATGTTCACCAATTTCTGTCTAGAGCATCCTGCACATATGTTCTTGCCCCGGCGCCGCTAAAAAACAAGAACGAACAACAAAAAAAAATCTGATTTCTGCCTCTTAGGGATTCTTGGGCCTCCCTGTCATGTCATAGGCGTTATAGGCACCCTTGACATCCCAAACATTTTATTTACTGCGTTGGTAAGCAGGTTTGGGCATCACCAGCTCCCATGTTGATAAATAGAAAGGGCGGCTGTTTTTCTTGGGAATGCTTCATTGCTTCTGTTTCGACATTTGATGCCTGTTTTTGGCGTTTGTTTTTAAAGTATCTTTTTGAACGTGGCGGTGATGATTTCATGGTTGCTCTCCCAAATTATTGTCTCCCACCACTGGCATTTTTGGAAGATGACCATTGCCGTTCTCAGCCCAAGGGGTAACCGCATGGTCATCAAAGTGTTAAAACAGTGGTAAAATGATGGCCGTATGATGACCATTGGTCGTCATTTTGAAATGACGACCATGGTCATTTTGGTGGTCATCTTGTGGTCATTAATTATATGGCGGCCATGGTCATCATTCCAAAATCATGACCACCAGAGGTGTCATGGCCATCTTTTTGGTAGAATCCCTTTTGGTCAAGTTTGTTTTTTTGCCTTTGTTTAAAGTTTCAAACGCGCCAACCCAGTCCTGCCGACAAACACTTGGCCAATTGGGATTCCTCCCACTGTTGGTGGCAGTGAAGGACCAAAAACGAGCTCGCGCGTTGTGTGGCAATTTCCTCCTGGTTTGGGTTGGTGACGTTTTTTGCCTATCACCACCACCCGCGCTGATATTGGGGATGTTTCAACATAAGACTTTGAAGATATGTCCATATTAACGCTCGCTGTGTATGTGCAAACTTGCTGGTGGTCAGTGATAAGTCTGAACAGCTCATATGGGTAAATAAACAGGCTTTTGGTTCACTACCCCCCTTGCCCGTAATTAACATGGCTCACGGAATTGTATAGATGAGATGAGATAAATTGGAATGAGCTGAGAAGAGCTGAGATGAGCTGAGAAGATCTGAGAAGAGCTGAGATGAGGTGAGATGAGGTGAGAAGAGCTGAGATGAGGTGAGATGAGGTGAGGTGAGGTGCGAAGAGCTGAGATGAGGCGAGATGAGGTGAGGTGAGTGAGAGGAGCTGAGAAGAGAGAAAAGATGAGAACGCATGAGATGATGAGATGAGCTGAAAAGAGCTGAAAAGCTGAGAAGGGCTGAGAAGAGCTGAGAAGGGGCGATGGGGGGAGATGAGATGAGATGAGATGAGGTGAGAAGATTGAGACGGTTACGAGGAGGCGAGAGGAGATCAGATGAGCAGATGAGATGACAGGAGCAGGAGATGTCAGATGACTGAATGTCGAAAGGTTATATTTCTGTTTCTGCAACGCACCCGGGGCTTTGGACATCTTCTAGGCACATCCTGTCTTAGGGCCATGCGTATTTTGAAACTTGCGCGCCTGGCTTGCCCCGGGACTACTTGTAGCTATGTATCGCTTGATTGCTGGGGCCACTGGACAGCCCACAAGAGTGCACAGGATGTTCTCTCTTTCAGTGCTGCCATTGCTTCTTGCCAGAAACGCTGGAAGGTGCCAAGGGGCCGGAGGGGAAATGCGCAAGGAAAAGGGGTCCTTGGATGAAGTCTAGAGTTTGGATTGGGTTTAAACATGGATCTTGGATATGTATTGGCGGATGCTTCAGTACTGACAAGTTTTGATGCATCACGATGTCGGTTGCCGCTGGTGGGATGCTACGCCAGGAATGACGAATGTAGAACAGTGATAATGGACGATAATGGACGGTCAGGAAACCAAAAATACCTCTACTACTCCAGTCCTTCCCGGGAAAGCATGATATGCTATCAAACATCGAGTAGAACATGCTCTAAACTTAACAATGCTGGGTTGATCACGCTCTTCGCTTTTGAAAATCGGGCTTTTAGATAGATTTGCGGAATGTTCGTTCTATTTTATGGAGATCCAACGTAAGAGTTGATAAGGAAGGGAGATGTTAGTGAAAAGTTTGGAGACCTAGAAAGGTCAACGCAAGATGACACCGAATAGATGTCAAATCCACCAATGTGAAAAACGATGATCCTTGGAGGGAGGGTGGGTTTGATGCTTGAAGACCAAAGCTGTCCTATTGGAAACTCCCGCAGCCCTTTTTGCGTTTTGTTCGCTGATTGCCGGTTGGCTTTGGGGAAGCGAACGTATGATTCATCAAAGTTGTTTCAAGCCCATTAACAGTTGCACTGCTTTCTGCAAAGACCAGAACATACCAAGAGATCCCAATAGATACCAGGACAGCTACACCGCAGGCTGGCCTGGAGGTCTTGAGTTACATGTCAAGCAAGATGGTGCAAAAGGCAGGGAGGGGCTCCGGATTTTTTTCATGCATGACTAAATTTGCTGATGCTGCATTGCGCTTCTTGCCGCTTGCTCCGGATGGACACTGCCATGGTCTATGCTGGCAGTTCTGGTGCTCCAGGATGCCGTGACGCTCAGCTATGCTGTGACAGCATGTGCCAAAGGTGGGATGATGTGTGGATTAAGCAGTGGTTTCTGATATGTTCTTTTCCTTGCTGTAAAGCATCATAGGAAGAGGATTCCATGCGCAGTTGCCGGCGAGGTGGTTTCTACCTTGCCGAGTTTGACACGTTGCAGGCGCTTGTGCTCCGACTCTTGCAGCGAGGTGAGGCCAGTGAAGGACAACGATGCCAGTCGCCCAAAACCAGACTTTGCAGCTCACGCGGCGCACCAGAGCGAGGTGGTGGTGAAGTTAGCGATGTCATGCTGATGCTGGACGCAGCCATTCTGTGACCATGTTTGTTGCTGAGCTTCAAACGACCAGATCTAGCAACTTGACACATGACAAAGGCCATGCTGATCATGCTGCCCATTGTTTTGAAGCGCATCTCCAGCCTCCAGAATCAAGATATTCAAAGTAATATAGCAGCTCAGCAGAGCACACAGTGCTCCACATCCATCAAGCGAACGTTCGGCTCATGACCCTGAGATGCTTTGATTAACTAAAACTGTCCTTACATCACAAGGCAGACAAATTCAAACACGCCGCAGCTAGGAAGGCTAGGGACCATGTTGTTGCAAAGCCATGAGGACAAGCTTCATTTCATGAAGGCATATAAAGGGCAATGAAACTATGAAACAACATTCCGCAGATGGGACTTTCATACCAGGAGGTGTTCAGCATGTGGAATGGGCAAATGAAATCTTTGCACGACATCATGGACCATATAAATTATGGATCCGAACAATTTGAAGATATTTCAAGCCGACAAGGACGAGGAGGACCACGATGCCTGTGCTTTGGAAATGGGCGTGCAGGAGGCGCCTACGCCATTCTATATCTATTCTCCCAATGCCCCCCCCAGTTTCCCTGATGTGACTGACAGATTGCAAGAAAAGCATTGCAGCACTGAAGTTTCAAATTTTGGTTTGCCGCCTTTTGCCACGGAGGTTGCACATTCGTTGCTGTTTAATTCAGGCTTGGCGGGTTAGCAAAAGGCAAGGGCTATTCAGCTATATTCTTCAATTCTTTCTTCGCAGGGTCATCGGCACCAAGGTGTTCCGCTTCAACGATTAATATGCTTTTCTCAAGCAACGCAGGGTTGGGCGACGCAAAATCGGTAAAGGGACGCAACCGGCGGATTCTGCTTGCGCACAGGCTGCTCATGAGAAGACCTCCCGCCGCCAAGTGCAGAAACGGGCATTTGGAGCCCAGACAGATGCCGAAAAAGAGGGCATTGTTTACAATGCTTGCATCAGGCTGGAACGCCGATGTTTTTGATGCACCATGCGTTCAACAGCTACACCCGGCGGACGTCTGCAATCTACTTGCTGCATGTTGTTGCAAGTTATATATTGTCGCGGCACCTGCCCCTCGAGCGAGAGTTTCACTACAGGGCATTTTTTCCTACAGCATATCGTGGTAGGATTGCTCCTCCAGTGTTTTTTCTGAGCAAGGAAACCCGTTACTGGCTGTTGCAAGCATTGGAAGGCGCTCAAAATATTGTAAGGCAAGGCAACCCTCATAAATTTTGGTTCCTAGGGGTTCAGCCCGTTTTCTGGCGGAACACTTTGGCTCCGGGTGGAGAGATGCACCACATGGGGGATACTTTTTGAGGGAAGTCTCGCACGAAAGCTTCGTTTTCACATCTTCCACTTTCAGATTTTGAGGGAAGTCTCGCACGAAATGTATTTTTGAGAGTTAGCAGACGCACGACATGCTAGGTTTTGAAGGACAAAACGTGTCCCGAAAGATGGATGCGGAAGCTTGTCCCGCATGCGGGTCCCGGACAGCGCAATACTAGTGTTTTTTGGCAGCTGGACATCGTAAATCGTATTGGAATGGCTGCACCAAGGTTGCGATAGTGATTTGTCAGCAGATTTTCTCAGTTTAAATGCTTTCTGTGTGCAAAATCTTCTCTGTATAAAAGCTGGCTCTGTGTAAAAGCTTTCTGTGTGTGTACAGGCTTTTCTGTGTAAAATTAACACATCCGAAGTCTCTAGGATGAAGGTTTTTGAAAATATTTTTTTTATGATTTTGATACGTTTCAGATATGATTTGTTGTTATGATTTGTTTATGGCTTGGTTTTGCTGTTATGATTTTGATATGGTTTCAGTTATGATTTTGATATGGTTTCAGTTATGATTCTTGATGTGGGTCAAACTTGTGATTTGAAGCCAACCCATCGGAACCATATCCAAAATATTCCAAAATCGTATCAAAACCATATCAAAATCGTATCAAAACCGTATCAAAATCGTATCAGAAGCGTATCAAAACCGTATCAAAATCATATCAGAACCACAAAACCTTCGACAAATCGACCAAAAACCTGTCCCTGGGCTGTTTCTGCTTCTTTTTTTGAAGCCAACTCACTGGAACCATATCAAAACCATATCAAAAACGTATCAAAACCGTATCAAAATCGTATCAAAACCATATCAAAATCATGCCAAAACCATAAAAACCATTGAAAACTCGACCAAAAACATGTTCCTGGGCTGTTTCTGTTTCTTTGTTTGAAGCCAACTCATTGGAACCATTAAAAAACCGGATCAAAATCATACCAAAACCGTATCAAAATCGTATCAAAACCGTATCAAAATCGTATCAGAAGCGTATCAAAATCGTATCAAAATCATATCAAAACCACAAAACCTTCGACAAATCGACCAAAAACCTGTCCCTGGGCTGTTTCTGCTTCTTTTTTTTGAAGCCAACTCACTGGAACCATATCAAAATCATATCAAAATCGTATCGAAATCGTATCAAAATCGTATCAAAATCGTATCAAAACCATATCAAAATCATGCCAAAACCATAAAAACCATTGAAAACTCGACCAAAAACATGTTCCTGGGCTGTTTCTGTTTCTTTTTTCGAAGCCAACTCATTGGAACCATATAAAAACCGGATCAAAATCATACCAAAACCGTATCAAAAGCGTATCAAAATCGTACCCAAATCGCATGAAAACCAGATCAAAATCATACCAAAACCATAAAAATCCTCGAAACATCGACCAAAAACCTGTCCCTGGGCTGTTTCTGTTTTTTTTTTGAAGCCAACTCACTGGAACCATATCAAAATCATATCAAAAACGTATCAAAACCGTATCAAAATCGTATCAAAACCATATCAAAATCATATCGAAATCATAACCCCAAATTCAAAGCATATCAAATTCATATCGTCAAATCGTATTCAAAACCATATTAAAATCGTAAGAAAAATATTCCCTGAATTCAGCATCCTAGAGGGGTTCCGGTGTCATAAGTGTAAAAGCTTCTGTGTGTAAAAGCTTCTGTTTAAACCCTTCTCTGTGCAAGGGCTTCTCTGTGTAAAAGCTTGCTCTGTGTAAAAGCCTCTTTGTGTAAGCAGTGTAAGGGCTTCTCTGTGTGAAAGCTTGCTGTGCAAAAGCTTTTCTGTGTAAAAGCTTGCTGTGTGCAAAAGCCTCTGTGTGCAAAAGCGTTTCTGTTTCAAAGCTTCTCTGTGTAAAAGTTGCTGTGTGGAAAAACTTCTCTGTGTAAAAGCTTCTCTGCGTAAGGGCATCTCCCTGTAAGAGCTTCTGTGTGTAAAAGCTTCTCTGCGTAATGGCTTCTCTGTGTGAAAGCTTGCTGTGTGTAAAAGCTCCTGTGTGCAAAAGATTTTCTGTGTAAAAGCTTCTCTGTGTAAGGGCTTCTTCCTGTAAAAGCTTCGCTGTGTAACGGCATCTCTGTGTGAAAGCTTGCTGTGTGTAAAAGCTTCTCTGTGTAATGGCTTCTCTGTGTGAAAGCTTGCTGTGTGTAAAAGCTTCTCTGTGTAAGTGCTTTTCTGTGTAAGAGCTTCTCTGTGTAAAAGTTGCTGTGTGGAAAAACTTCTCTGTGTAAAAGCTTCTCTGCGTAAGGGCATCTCCCTGTAAAGGCTTCTTTGTGTAAAAGCTTCTCTGTGCAAGGGCTTCTCTGTGTGAAAGCTTGCTGTGTGTAAAAGCTTCTCTGTGTAAGTGCTTTTCTGTGTAAAAGCTTCTCTGCGTAAGGGCTTCTCTCTGTGAAGGCTTCTTTGTGTAAAAGCTTCTCTGTGCAAGGGCTTCTCTGTGTGAAAGCTTGCTGTGTGTAAAAGCTTCTCTGTGTAAGTGCTTTTCTGTGTAAAAGCTTCTCTGTGTAAGGGCTTCTCTCTGTAAAAGCTCCTGTGTGTAAAAGCTTGTCTGTGTAACGGCTTCTCTCTGTAAAAGCTTGCTGTGTGTAAAAGCTTCTCTGTGTAATGGCTTCTCTGTGTGAAAGCTTGCTGTGTGTAAAAGCTGTGTGTAAAAGCTCCTGTGTGCAAAAGATTAAGGGCTTCTTCCTGTAAAAGCTTGCTGTGCAACGGCATCTCTGTGTGAAAGCTTGCTGTGTGTAAAAGCTTCTGTGTGTAAAAGCTTGTCTCAATAAAAGCTTCTCTGTGTAAAAGCTTCTCTGTGTAAAAGTTCTCTGTGTAAAAAGCTTTTCTGTGTAGGAGCTTTGTCTCTATGTGAAGGCTTGCTGCGTATAAAAGCTGTGTAAAGGCTTGCTGCATGTAAAAGCTGTGTAAAGGCTTCTCTGTGCAAAAGCTTCTGTGTGTGTAAAAGCGTCTCTGTGAACAAACTTTTCTGTGAGAAGGCGCTGAGATGAGGTGAGACGAGCTGACAAGAGCTGAGATCAGCTGAGGACATGTGAGAAGAGCTTAGAAGATGTGAGAGGAGGGGAGAAGAGATGAGAAGACATAAGATGAACTGACAGAAGCTGCGGGGAGCTGAGAAGAGTTGAGAAGAGCTGTGAAAATCTGAGAAAAGCTGAGATAAGCTGAGATGAGATGAGAAGAGATGAGAAAAGCTCAGGTGACATGAGAAGGGATGAGAACAGCTGTGATCAGCTGAGGAGAGCTGAGAAGGGGCGAGAAGACATGAGATTTGATGCGATGAGATGGGATGACACAGACTGTGGTGACAATGGCATGCGATGAGCAATTTCCAAGAGAAGCTGCAATGCGATGAGATCCGAAGAAATGAGAAAAGATCCAAAAGTCAAAAGACATGGCACCGGAATGAGAAGTCAAGAGATGGTTGCTGCGAAGCACCGGAGGCTTGTCACCTATAGGCACAGTCTTTGTTCCGCTCTATAGGCTATAAGCGTTTCAAATTTGAAACTTCCGGCCCCCGGCTTGCCCGGGTACTACTTTTATTCCAAGTTTTGAAGGAACCCATCGCTATAATTATCGCTTCTGGACAGCATTTTCACGTTTGTCTCCTGCCATCTGTTCGGGTCACACTGTCGTCTAGTTTGTGTTCCAAGCTTGTTCTTTGTAAACGTCAGGGTGCCCCCAAAGCCCTTCAAGGCTAAAATAACTTCAGGAGCCGCCGCACCTGGAACTGCCCATCCCCGAACCCGAGAACCCGCATTGGAAGCCGCACCGAAACGTTGTTTGGGTTGAGACCCCCAAGCCAACGCATCTGCAAACAAAAGTGAAATATTCCCCGGGTTGCTTTTGGAGGGAACGTTTTTTCCACACGCGTGATAGGGAGCACCTTTGCAAGTTGATATCACCTTAATGGCCGCGCACTTTGGCCCTGGAAGCATGGGAAGCTTAGCTAGCCGTCGCAAGCGATAGCAAGCCATACCAAAATTACTTCCTAGCCTGAAGCACGGTAGGCCGCAACATCGACTTCCAAGAACTGTTTAACATGCTAACCCAACTTAATCAATATGGATTCGGGCGCAAAAAATAGATATAGAAGAAAGTAAGTAAGAAGCAACAAATATATATATATATGTAGATATATATATATGTAGATATATATAGATATAGCTTTAGACATAGATATAGATAGATTAGGAATTCTTTGTAACATGTGCTTTTTTTGAGCTCTTACTTTGCACGGCCAGTCAAGTTCTAGATCCAGCCCCAGAACCCGGTGCTGAAACCCTTCTCCACGGTTTCCAGCCGCTGACCGGACAGTGCGTGCGAGAAAGCCGGACAATGGCAACATGCCTTGGCTTTGTTTCAAGAGATGGAAGGCGCTGCTTCCGCGGGAAGAGATGATCCAACCGGGATGATTGTCAAGTTGTGGTGCATGTTCGAAATGACAATAGCAAGGATCAAATGCCGCAACTCCCTGTCGTTTCGTTGGGCTTCAGGTTCACCACGTTTTCCATGTAAAAATGAATTTTCACCGCCTGATTATCTATTTTCTGCGTTTCATGGCAGGAAGATCTCGTTTTTCATGGCCTTCTCCTGTTCTTTGAACATGCTTGTGCGCAAACCTGCGAAAGAATGGGTGGACATGTGTTGTTTAAAGTATATTGGTCTCCGCGCAAGTCGGGCGGCGGACAGCCTCCAGCTGGAAAATATGATCATATACCCGCCCTCCGAAAGTAGGACTTAGATTCCATATTTCACAACCTCAGGTACCATGTTCTAGACTGGGGGGGTAAGCATCATTGTAGAAGTTTTGCCCCTATGAAGGTAGACCCTGGCGTTTGATTCTGAATTTGCAATCTTCTCATAACTTCCCACGATTCTGCAGTCACTTTTTGTCTTAAAGCAAGGATGGCAGATCCCCACATGATTTTTTAACCTTGTTGAAGGTATGTTGTGCCTTGAATGTGTGTTTTTTCCCCACCTGCCAGGTGAGGGTTGTTAGATTTTATGTCAGTTGCCTGCTCCTCCTCTCCTCTCCTCTCCTCATCTCCTCTCCTCCTCCTCGTCGTCCTCCTCGTCCCACTGCGACCCGCGATCCACAGTGTTCTCTGTCGGACCTCAACCACGACCATCCACGCCCAGTGTGCCCTGCCGGACCTCAACCACGACCATCCACGCCCAGTGTTCCCTGCCGGACCTCAACCACGACCATCCCCGCCCAGTGTTCCCTGCCGGACCTCAACCACGACCATCCACGCCCAGTGTTCCCTGCCGGACCTCACCCGCGAGTATCCCCGCCCAGTGTTCCCTGCCGGACCTCAACCACGACCATCCACGCCCAGTGTTCCCTGCCGGACCTCAACCGCGAGTATCCACGCCAAGTGTTCCCTGCCGGACCTCATGTAGGAAGATATGGGACAAAGAATGTGCAGAAGAAAGTTAGAAAGAATGTAAGAAAGAATGTCAGAAGATATGCCAGAAGATATGCCAGAAGATATGCCAGATAGAATGCCAGATAATATGCCAGAAGATATGCCAGATAGAATGCCAGAAAAAATAGCCAGAAGAATATGCCAGATGAGAAGCCAATAATAGCCAGAAGATATGCCAGATAGAATGCCAGATAGAATGCCAGAAATTTGCCAGATAGGAATTGGCCAGAGAAAATATGCCAGAAGTATGACAGAGATATGTTCAGAAGATATGCCAGAAGATATGTTCAGTAGAATTGCCAGGAGTATGGTTCAGAAGATATGCCAGAAAGAATGCCAGAAGATATGCCAGAAGATATGCCAGATTATATGCCAGAAGATATGCCAGATAGAATGTCAAATAGAATGTCAGAAGATATGTCAGATAGAATGCCAGAAGATTTGCCAGGATAGATGCCAAGAAGATTTGCCCAGATAGAAGGGCCAGAAGATATGCCAGATTATATGCCAGAAGATATGCCAGATAGAATGTCAAATAGAATGTCAGAAGATATGTCAGATAGAATGCCAGAAGATTTGCCAGTAAGAAAATGTATAAATGTCATGGTGGGGATCACACGAAGTAAAGTAATTTTTCTGATCCTCGTGGTGGCATGAGTTTTGGCGTGGAGAAGGATGCAGGGGAGCGTCAAACTTGATTTGTAGGTATTACCGAAGGAAGTTTAGACGTCAAACTTCCGACAATATGGATAGGTGGAAAAGCAGACGTGGGAAGAGTCAACCCCCTTTTCCCTAGTGCCAATGCATAAAGTTAACAAATGACCCTGCTGGGTATTCGTCACCCAGAAAAACTTGTGCGCACTGCCTACCTTGCAGCCTTTTTGCCGATGCAAGCAGCTCTGTTGAACAGAGCCACCACAATTGGGCTCAAACGTACGTCAAAACCAACCCAGCGCAGCATTTAAGCAAGCTGGCCAAAGTGACACAAAAACAGTGGTCCGAAGCCACCCCGCGCCGCCTTCTTCTTTTTGGGGCATTAACACATAGATATACACACTTGCTTGGAACTGCTGTTCGAATTGCGAAGTTGGAATGCATCTTACGTGCAAAATTCAGCAACAGTAAACCTGCCAGGACGAAAAACGGAGTTGGGAGAGAAGTTCACTTGTCCAGCAAAAATGGTATCCAGAAGCACAAACACAAGCACAATAAAAAAGGAGCTGGCCCCTTCCCTGTCCTGTAGCGAAAGTTGATATTTGACAACCGTATGATCTCCAGCTTGCGACAACAGTTCAGCATCTCAAGTATCAGGCTGCGACAACGGCGCACAAAAGGTTGAAAAACATTGACATGCCGGTTGTTGGCTTAGCCGGTGGCCGTTCACTCAAGCTTGGAAAATCTGCGAGAAACTGAAGCGGAACTTTGGTGATGTTGAGGTTACTTCGGGATGATCAGTCCCGATATCCTCCCAACTGATGAGTATCTTCGTTGGCAGTGGACCCGTCCACTGCCCCTTGCACTAATCTTGAAATTCAATGTCATCAGAAATGACGGCTCACAGTAGAATCCAAAAGTACAAGTTTTACTTCTATTGAGATGTTACACACACATACACGCACACACGCACAGACACATGCACGCGCACAAACCCACGCACACACATACCCCACCTCTCTCTCTAGCAAATTCTTTTCTGAGGTTTCGTTTGAAGTATTGCGCTTCTGTGCATCATCTGCAACTCAAAGTTTCTGTTTGACACTGTTTTGGATTAACTGTCTCGAGCTACTTCTCTTGACTTTCCTATCCTTTGGGCTTCTTGTTCACTAGAGGGCTTTAGTATTTCTTGAGGCAACTCTCGCGAAGAGGGTGCCCTTTCTACTTTCTTTCTGAATTCTTAAGCTGTCTTTTGTCTAGGGCTACTTCTTCTATTGGGCTCGCTTCTTCTCTGAATCTTTTCCGTTCATCTGAAACTTGGACCCCGAGGAAGTTGCAATTATTGGATGAATGCGAGCGAGTGAGGGAGCGAGAGAGAGAGAGAGAGAGAGCGAGAGAGAGAGAGAGAGAGAGCGAGAGAGAGAAGGGCGGGATAGAGAAGAGAGAGAGAGAGAGAGCGAGAGCGAGAGCGAGAGCGAGAGCGAGAGA